GGCAGGTATTTTATGTAAATACATATTTATATTTATATCTGACCACATTTTATGTATTGATATGCATGGACAATGACCATACAATTCAGCTGTGGGAAAATATTTGTAGAAAAGACTTTATTTTGCTTTTGGTTTTAAAAGTGTTTTTGAGGTATAATATACTTTACATGTGTAACTTTACAGGAAATTTATGTTTTGAGATTGTAATTATGGATGAGGATTTGGGGGGGGTCCGGTCTTTAGTGTTTTGCCTTTATTCATTTCCTGTTTTAATGTGGAGTTGTGGTTTGGATATTTGGTGGGAAAATTGATTTGCATCTCATGTGTGATTGTTAGGCTACTAGTATTTTTTTAACAAGATATATTTGCATTGCAAGGTCTGTAGTTGTAATTATGGAAGAGAATTTGGATGTTATGGTTATGTGTAATAATGCTTAGGTGTTAAAACCATTTCTATTTTGACTTTTTGATTAAATATATATTTGGCAAGTTTATGAATGATGGATTTGCAGCTGTCTTTTAAAGGGGGTTTTAAAAACTGCTTATCTTTTTTAGGTTTTTATTCACAAACAGTTACGGGCAATAGACCCCATGTACGCTGCCATGGGTATGTTAAGCTGACATTTAACATCATGGCAGCAACCAGAGCTAAATTCATGCTGGGACGACAGATCGAACAATTAAAAATGTAACAACTTCATACATAAGGAGAAATTGCTACAAACAGTGAAAAAGAAATCTAAATATGATGTTTGAGATTCGTGCTTGATTTAAAAAAAAAAAATCTAAAAAAGCCTCCGGCTTGACTTTACTAAAAACCTGTTAAAAGAGTCAGGAAAATGATAAATACAGCAAAAGGAGTTTAAAGAAGGACAATACAATAAAACGTGCTTAATAGTCAGTGGTGTTACATGCAGGACATACAGGTGGATCTTCACCTGTCAATAACAGTTTGCAGTTTAGCTGGCTACGCCCAGTACAACACAGGGGTATAAATCACCTGATCCCTCCATTCTTACATGCTGCCATGGTAACAGTAGGACTGGTTTGGGTTGTGGGGTGGAGAAAGATGGTGGTGAAGTGTCCTTGTGCCCCTTTTCTTCATGGTGACCTGTGGTGCATTGACACAGCTGAAGCACCTGTCCTAGCGAGTTGTAAGCTCAGGGCTCAGGAATATTCTGGGACATGGAAGGATCGTCAGTGGCACTCCAGCAAATCCATGAAATGATTCCTTTACACATATACTCATAATGCACAAAGCTGGGTAGCTTTCTTCTGTATATCTCTTCCTTCCAGTTTCAGAGTCCAGTGTAGATTCTGTGCAGAGAAGGAAAAAATACACTGACGAAATATCACACATCTTACAATCCTCATTCAGACAGAGAAGCATACAGTGGGTACTGAAAAGAATCACCTACTGTCAAAAAAATCACATTTTGTCACTCTACAGCCTGAAATGAAAATACAACAGAACTGAATTTATCCAGCGTTATTTACTAAATTCAACTGACAATATCCAGGGGAAAGAGAAAACAGCAACAGTCCTGGAAAATAAACACAAATAAAAAACAAGAATAACTGAGATTAATTAAGGGTCAACCCCCGCCATCCCACCCCACGCCTCCCAAAAACAATGCTTGTAAACTCAATCAGGTGTACTCAATCACATTCTGGATGGTACTGGCTGTCCAAAGTCAAAGAAACAAAAGACTTTCATGCATTATGGCAAAGCTTTACCAAATTAAACAGTTTTCTGTTATGCCCTCTAGTGGTTGAGTTGAGGTTTAAAAGTCTCATGTAAAAACTGGACATTCGTTCTCAGCCAAGAGCGTATATTTGGGTATGGACAATAGGTGCATGTCCATACCAATGCTGTTGGAGTATCTGGTGTGTTTAGGGTTGGGGTTGGGGCTGATTTGGTCCCTACGAGGCACACAGCCAAGTAGGAAAATGACGGGTTTGTTCCCCCCCCTCCCCAGTTTGCCAAATCTACCAAAGTTGACGGTAGAGTCTCCGGACCCCCCCCAAAATGTATCTCTAGTTACAAGGTCCCTAAACCTGTTGACACCAAGTCTGCACCCTTGTCATACACAAGGGTTTTACAGGTATTACTTTAGCTTCAGTGTAAGTAACTTTACTCCAAGACGACATGGCATCGATGGAAAGACATCACTTGAAAAAAATCCAGACATATTTAATGTTTGGTTCCTGGGTACGGTGATCACTTAGCACACTCCTTAATGAGCTGCGTGGCGGTCAGGGCTGGACATCGAGCTCGCCTGCTGTAATTCGCACAATGGCTGAGTAGGCCTACAAAAACATGAATGAGTGCATAATTTAAAAATCATGACTAGTTAACTGATATATCAATGGCGAGGCTAGACTGAGGTTAAAAATCAGATCTGGACTTTGGGTCCCCAAATTTTGCAGAACAGGGGAGTGGCCTCCTCCTGTTTACTTTTGCCAAGCACAAATTCAGAGCATTCAATACATTAACTCCCCCCCCACTGAAACCTTACCCAAGTGAAGGTAAATCAACTGATTATATCAGTGGCACAACTTAACCCAGACCGCGCAATGCAGTCGTGATCTTTGGGGTCCTTCACTGTAAACTTTGCCTAAGACCTGCACTATGCAACATCAACTCGAGCGCTTTGTTCGCATTGTAGGCGCAGAAAGTAAAACGAAACCATCGAACCAGCAGGGGGAGCTAATGAGTCAAGAATGAAACGCTCCATAAATACTACGGAGACAAAAACGGGATGGAAGTGCTTTGAAAAAGCCCCAAGAGACATTGCAGTGACAAGACTCAAAAAAGGGAATGCATTACAACTTACAGCCTGTTATTTCATGAGTGGAATCGACGTGTTCAATTCAGCTATTAAAAAGATGATGAAAGATGGTGTTCTTGTAGCCTAATTTCATTTCGAACCAATAGATAGATCGCAACATCAAACATCGCCTACTAAGCTGTTATATTAATTACCAGGTGGGCAATTTTATACAGAGACCTGTTTGCTTTTTAACGTTAAATAAAGCATTTATTTTGTTTCTTTTCATTCTCAGCTCTATAACTAGGTTCAGTTGTCCTGACCATGGCTGGATAGTGTTAGTAAAGTGGAAATGGGAGTGAATGAGAGGGCTGTACAACTTCTCTCCAGCGAAGGAAGACACCCAACCCCCAGATACGCCGGTCCAAGCGGGGGTGTGATGGAGCCGCGGCTCGGAGTTTCCAGCAGGAAAACTAAATATATTACAAATGAAAGGTCACGCAGTGCTTGTTCAGAAAGCAAAAGTAAAGTAAAACCTCTGCAGTTCACCTCAAAATGCTTGGTTGGCAGCAAAAATCCAGAAAATACAACTTACCCGGTCATTTTATGAGTTTTCCTTTAAACAGTTTTCATTCCTTGCAGTAAGAGCTTGAATAATTCTTTATCCCTTAAGAAATGTTTTTAATTTAAAAGGTTTTTCCCATTTAACATTCACCAGTGTAGCAAAAGTTTAAATGGTAATTTGGTTGAAAAAAAACCTTTTCCCAGACAGGGCACATATATAGCCTACTCCAGTTTTACGTTCTGTTTGTCTGCGATGGGCTCCCGACTCTCCCGCAACCCTGTCCAGGATAAACAGTTTAGAGATCGATGTATAAATGATCAGATTTCAATAAGGCCATAAAACATATCTATAACAGAACATGACTCCTGGCTGGTTTCAGCATTTATGCGTACAGTCTGAAATTACCAGTGAATTGTTGGGTTAACTTATTGTATAATAAAATGCAGCAATACACAGTGTCATGGCTCTCCAGACGTGTATTGCTAAGAAATAAACCCAGCAATCTATCAATGTTCCAAGTGCTTGACAATCTTGGTCAAGGTAACAGATAGGTTCTGGAGGTACACTCTGGCACGCACACACACACACACACACGTACACACAAACACACACAATCATACTTTATATTTAGAAACACCAACTAGCCTATTTGCATGTCTTTGGAATACTGGAGGAAACCAGCACAACATACTGTAAGAACACGAAAATTCGACACAAAGAGCTGAAGAGGCAAAAGCTAGGGCAACTCACTGAGCCCCCATGTCACCCCGACAAAATCTGCATGATAAAAAAAAACTTAATTTCAGAAATATTCCATTAGTTGGAAATAACAATGAAGAAAGTAAGTTTGAAATACTAGTATCAATCTACGAGCATCAACATATGAATTGGTATCCAGCACAGCTCTCCCTGTTCCACCCTTCCCGTTAGCCACAGGATTGACTTGTGGAACAGGTGTTCCGGGCTATTCAGTTTCCCTATGTTTCCCCTGTCGCGCGCTGATTTGTACACGGTTTCGCTGTTGTTATCATGTCTTTTTACGAAGCTCTTGAGGTAAACAAGCCATATATTTTAAAACATCACATGCCTTTTCGATGTTTTTTGTTTTTACAGATAATAAATGAAAGTTTTTCAATCGCTGGATAGACATATTTCTTGATGAAAACGGTATAGTATTGCTTATAAGATTATATTATGCGTGACGATCTACTGTATTCACATGTAATAATGTACCTCAGTGATTTTCAGACATCTCACATACATATTTGCCTAAATATTAGGAGAAATATTATTTCCTGACATCCAGGATATTTGGTTCCCCCCTGTTAAAACAGGTATACAGCAACTCTGGGCCTCGGTACTAATACAATACAGTATTCACATGTAATAATGTACCTGAGTGATTTTCAGAAATTTCACATACCTCTTTGCTTTAATATTAGGGGAAACATTATTTCCTGATAGACAGGGGAAACCGAATTGCCCGGAACAACGGAAAAAACCTGCAAGCATTTCAATCCCTGCAGTAGCACAAGCTGCTGAGGGCAGGAGAAAATGCACTGGCGATAAGTATATATGTACAGTACAAGAGTAAGGCAAGAACACAGTTCCGGGGGAGGGGGGCATTACTCATCATTTGTGCATGTCAGGCAGCTGTTGCCAGTTTGCCGCAGACTCCTAGGCTATAACTTCACTTTAGTAAAGGGTCAACCTTTTTTTTACAAAAAGAAGTTATTTGCTGCATTGTCAGTGAACAAACTGTGATAAATTGTAAAAATATAAAAAATAAAACGTAAGAAAGTTAAATCTACAAACGTAGTTCAATATAAAGAGGGGTTTAATTAAATGCTTGAACAACAGCCGGTATGCAAGAAAAACTTCAGTAGAACTGCGTAATAGGAGCGAGTTTTATCGAAAGTGCTGGCGTGAACCTGCAGGCTTCCGTATGCGTGCGGCAGTCATGGCGGCGTGCAGCGACACCCAGGACAGCGTGCCCGGCAGACTTCACTTGTATCTTTTGCTCTTTTCTAAAACATCCCCTGTCTGCCTTATCCAGTGCAATGACTCTGTATTAAATTGGAAAAAACAAGATAACAAGATTAACAAAAGTAACAAGATTGCGTATCTGGTGTACAGGTGTGGACTTTCTGCTAGACAAAAGCGCAGACTCTACTGCGAAACTTTGAGTGTGTATTTTCTGTCTCAACTAAGTTAGAAAGATGACGGTCTTTCCTTGACAGCGGTCCAGTTTTCTGAACGTGCCCTTTCCGTCGGAGCGGGAAGCCAGCATCGCCCTCGGGTCACTCGCCCCCGATAGCGAACCTCGCAAAGGGGGTATAAGCAAGGAGATGTGTACCGCGGGTAACATTCTCAACGTGTAAGAGATTTCTGCCTACCACTCAATGTACCGAAGTTAAAAGCTGCTGTATCCGGTCTAACCTCTTTTAACGTTTCTCTGTTTTTGCATCAGAAAGTGGAGCGCAGACGAGGCTCGGATTCTCCGTGTCTCTGTCGGGTCCTTCCTAGATCACTTAGCACTGGTTTTGGAAACGATGCTGGAGTTCGGTCCGCCAGTTCCTCTATGATACTCTGCACCTGGAAACGAAAGACTGGGTTACTAAAAGGGAGTTTAATGACAGTTATCGCTCCCTAGTAAAGCGATGGGGAACGGAAATGCAAGCGTTATCGAGATGGTTTACAGCAGATATGTGAAGTGCGATGCGTAATCGCCATTATTACATTCATTCTCATTTATTTTAGGCATGTCCGATATTTGAGGTTGCATCTGTGTTTTTTGCATATATTTATATTTTGGATGAAGGGGTCACGAAATACATTAATGGATAGTGTGGCGGTGTTCTGTATGATGAATTAATTCATGTTATTTTAAAAAATAAATACTATTTGTAACATCCAAAATACCCGTCCCAGTTGTGCTAGCTTTTCAGACTTTGCTAAATAACCTTTCAGTGCAACTGGCAAGTACTTATTTCATTTTAATCAAGTATATTGTTAATTGAAAAAAATTCCACTGGATAGCTGTTTTCACTGTTTTTGTAATAGTGACAATAAAGATCTATCTTATCTTATTTGAATACAAGTGGGCCTAATCGTAAGCCTTATGAATCCAACCCCCTTTACTGCTTTCTTATAGGTAGTTAAATACAAATTTTGGCTTTCAGCCTTCGGTCAAAGCAGTTTTGACCCGGAAAACGGGCTCAAACGGACTTCTAAAGCTGATTCCAATCAGAAAAAGCCACGCTACCAGGAAACACGGAAGGATGTAAAAATAGCAGTTAGACTTGAGGAAAACGATCAGATTAGCTAGATGAAAGGAAATGTCTTTAATGAGTAGAGGGGGGTGCTGTAAAGAAAGGGTACGCGAGACTCGGGATTCGTATTCTGCGTGCGCTTAAATATGTTGCCAGTAAATTTTCCGAGTGGTATTGCCAGGGGGAAGGCAGGGCAGGCGATGGCCTGGGCCCCCGGGCTGGGAGGGGCCCCCAGAGGGCGGCCGATTCAGTGTTGCCAGGTCCAGCAAAAATCTCCAGCTCAAGCTCTGCTTAAAATACGCCTAACGAAAGCTGGAACCCATCCCAGTATTTGAAATCCCAGTATACTGTATCTCAAAGAAATAAACCAGTATTTTGCATGTTGATCACATACAAATGTTATGCAGAATGACGTCATGTACACGGACGTACTCTCCTTTCCCAGGCTTGCCAACTTTGGTCAGCTGGCTGGAGTTTCAATTCGAGGTTAATTTGCACACACATTTACATGTATACAACAGTTTTATTACCTTGTAAATAGTCTGCAGCTGATGTGGCGGTCCTGCTTTCCACGTGCGTTTATCTCTGACCTTCAGTGCCTAGCGATTCAGTATTACTCAGCAATAGGACCCACTTGCATTCATAATGATATATTTTTCCTCCTTACAGTCCGCAGCCCCAAACCCGCAACTGTATTTTCAAAACAGCCCAAATGGCCGGGAAAACCGCGGACCGGGCAACTCTGGGTCGATTACACAGCACATTAAAACGACATATTTGCTTTATTTGTGTATTCTATTTCTCACAAAAAGTGAAAATAAAGCACCCGTGTTTATTAAATCCTCTAATTTGCTATTATTTTACACTTAATAAATATTACCATGCTGGGAGAAGGGGAGCCCCCCGGAGTCGACTCTGGGTATAGTTAACATTAAAACGTTTAAATGGTACAAATATAACCTTGAAGTTCGTGCAGGCTACTCCAGTTTTCTAACAATTAAAGATAAAGATGCAACAAGCAAACAGGCAAAACAGTCTTAATCAAAACATATGTAAACGCCCAGAAGTGAGGGTTTAAAAAAGGAAGTATGTGCGTCATCAATTAACATTTTATTGAATCTTTTTTATTATTATTAAATCGTATCAACTGATATGACAGGAGAGCTAGGTTACATATAGCTACTTGTTTATATTATTAGGGATATATAAAATCAATAAGGATTTGATATACATTTTCATATACATATTTTACACGTTTTAAATTCTGTTAATATACAAGGAACTGATTTTGCACGCGCATGTGCGAGATTCTCCCTGCTGCAGCTTAGCAGATTGTTCCTCTTCTCAGTTTGACCCGTTTCGGGTTCCTAGTCCTTTCTAACCAGCAGCACCGGGATTTGGCAGATGCCTTAAAGCACAGCGTCCTCATTGTCATTATCTGCCCCTCCATCAAGTCATAATCATACCAGCAGACAAAGGGTATGTATCGTTTCTCTATGTTTTAGTGCCTAACAGAGTATTGTATAAAATTCAATAGTATGGAAAATGAAAAAGGCATGTCGATCAGTTCATGTACAATAAAACAGAATAACCACCCCCACATTCCATCACCCCTTGTTTACATCCTGGTTCAGAAATGACCAGGACTTCATCCTACATCTGGTGCTGTGATTCTGCATGGCATTCAGTGTCTAAGTGCACCGCGGTTACTGAAACATAGGCCCAGAACCCCAAAATCATTGAAAAAAAAAAAAATGAGGAAGACAGGTGAACGTGGACAAGACAGAGATGACGAGACCTGGCGGAAGATACCGCTGCTGCCTGTTATACCGCGTAGTAGGATTAGCAAAGCCCTCAAGCGCGCAAAACGGAGCACCGCGGAAAAACCTTGAGTGGCACTGTAATAATATCAAGACCATTACTGTAACTGTAAATAAAAAACATAGCTTGTGGGATTTGGTCCAACGACTTCTGCACCGAGTTTTGGACAAGAAGGTATAGATTAAGTCTAAGAACCAGAGGGAAAGGCCGACTTATTTCAATGCCGACTGTGTCGGTGAGGGAAATAGTCAGTGTGAGGGGGTGGGATGGTCAGCACCCCACATTTCTATAGCCCCCACCCCCCCCTTCAGCAGCTGCAGCTGTCGTCAGACCCGGCCTGCCTGTCGTCCCTCAGCTTGATCTGGTCAGGGAAGTCATACGTCTCCACCTCGGTCTCCTGAACAAGACATGAGTGGAAGAGCACAATAGGATCAGTCGGCTGCAGAAGCTCCATCTGTACACCGCCGTCGTATGCATGAGTCTTTACCTGCTTGAGGGCATTGCGAGCGATGGTCTGGAATGCCTGGTCCACATTAATGGCCTCTTTGGCGCTCGTCTCAAAGTACGGGATGTTGCTTTTACTCTGGCACCAGGCCTGGGCCCGTTTTGTCGTCACCTGAGGGCCAGGAGGATGCTCTCATTGTCACACATACTATAATATAGCAATGCAATACACAAATATGACAGCACAGCAAACATATCATAACTCTTCACTGCGATGTACATCCTCGTTTCTAAAAATAGCTCACCATCCTTATTTACTTTCACTTATACCCGGAACTACATTTCTTGAGACAAATACTTCTAATTAAACTGTGTGAAAGGAATTCTGTTCCAGTAAGTGAAAAGTGTATAATCAAGTTTGGGGAGTCTATCCATCTAACAATCCATATTTTAAATTAATAGTCTATACCTCTATGTTGTATTTTCTCATTTTTATCTCAGCTGAATTACATCTAAGGAATGCCTGGTGAGCTAACCGTTTCACAGGTTAACTGCGTAATGGATTTTAGTGTTTCTTGTTTAATTAATACTACTAAAACAAAACCCTACAAAAATCAGGGCAAGAAAAACACCAGCTGTTAACAGTTTTGCAGAGGAATGTACATGTTTCTAATTAATTTTAGTAATATCAAACTAATCCTCAACTCAGACATTCTTTTGAATTTTTATGCCATAAAATGTTTTCTAATGCTATCAAGTTTCAAGTCTCATGTGTCATTGTCTGCGTTGGGAATAACAGAGAAATTCCTATGCCACAGTTGCCAGGAACAGGACAGGTGCAACGGGTGGGACGGAACAAACAACACTATTAGCCCGCAAGCAAAAGATGTGACTTCAGACTAGCCTAGATGGAAGGTGGCATTGTGGGAATGCTTACACGCACCTGTCTATTGTCCAGGTCAATTTTGTTACCCAGCACCACGAATGGGAAGTTCTCTGGGTCGCGGGGGCTGGCCTGGATCAGAAACTCATCCCTCCAGCTATCCAAGGTCTTGAAGGTGCTCGGGGCCGTGACATCATACACCAGCACGCAGCAGTCGGCACCACGGTAGAAAGCCACGCCCAGAGACTGGAAACGCTCCTGGCCGGCCGTGTCCCAGATCTGTGTGACAAGCAGAGGACCGGCAGCCGTGAGTGTCACTTCACACACACAGAATCTACATGTATACAAATCACAAGCAGTACTAATAATGTTAAATCCTGAGCTACAAAAGCCTAATGGCCTTATAAAGGTCATTCTGTACAACGTATTTCGAAACACAAAAAACAAAGAAACAATAAAATTATATATTTCGTTCATCCATTTGTCTCTCATAACTGCTTATCCAGAATGGTTTTATGGACAGCCTGGACCCTAGACATAGGAGCTATAGACAAGAAACACCATGGATGGGATGCCAGCTCATCATATTAGTATTTTTTCATGCAAATAATCTTTTGTTAAGAGTTGACTTTTTTCTTTATAGGCTAAGCACGATTATTAATTGACTTGGGTGTCTCTGTGATACTGTAGTGTATACAATGACAGATGCATTCTGATCCAAAGTGGTCTAACTCAGGAAAAGCAAAGTAAGGGATCCGAACCACAAACCTTCGGGTAAGACCAGATTTTCAACCACTTCGCTATACTGCTGCCATTGTAAACCACAGAAATCTGGCTTTGAGAAACTGCCAGATGCTGTGTATCATGTTTGTATGTTAGGCTAAAGATAATAAAATCACTCTGTAATCAATGGCCACAATGAATAGGTATGTAAGCGGATGAACCAGAAGATGTTGAGGAGAAAGATTCGGATAGACAGACCTGCATGGTAACCAGCCTGTCATCTACCATGACCTCCTTGGTAAGGAAATCGGCTCCAATCGTTGCTTTGTACTGGTTGCTGAACTTCTTATTGACATACTGGTTCATCAGTGACGTCTTCCCTACCCTAGACAGACAGACAGACAGATAGATAGATAGAGACAGACACACACAGAGTCTCTCAGTGGTAACACCCTACCATCCTATGACTGTATGAAACAAGCCCTAGCTGAACACATGCAACACGTTAAACGTAAGGCGTCGGTTCGTCACGTGACCCGATGTCACATGAGGCGGAGTCACGGGTCGGGCCGGTTCGAGGCTTCGAGCTCACCCGGAGTCGCCCAGGATGATCACCTTCAGTAGCACCTTCTTTCGCGAAGCCATGGCAAATTAAACTGAAGGAGGAGAGACACTGGTTATGTATTTACACACGTGAGCGTTTAATTTCTTTTAGAATGATGGCACGACAACTGACAGTCAAAGAATAATATGATAACATAAAAGATCACACCTGCTCGGCGAAACTCACTCAAACCGAAAATAAAAGAAAAAGGCGTCGCTCTCTATGGATATGCACAAGCCAACACATCCGTAAAGTTACATAAATCAGGCCAATAGCAGAATGCGAAGCTTCTGCATCAGCAAATCGCCAAAATCAGCCTCTTTCGGTCCTGGGATCGAGCAAATCACGCACACGGACTATAGAAATCGAAATCAGATAGTTTAATTATTGTTGATTATTCTAAATAAACTGGGCTGCTCGACTGCCAGAGTTAGCTATACCAAGGTAAATGTACTGGTGACAGTTTGGCTGGTAGCTTGCCATCACAAGCAGTAAATAAACAGCAAAAACAAAACTTACCGACACTATCTCAGCAAACCGCTTCCGCTACCTGCACCTCGGCCCGTCGCTGAAACAAAAGAAGGTAGTGCCCCTCGGATTAGATATTAGGGGGACGATCAATATTATAAATGGGAGACGTATGAGCAAGTGAAAGCGCCGCGGCTGTTGTGCTTTCGGCTCCAACATGGCCGCTCGGTCACGCGGGGTTGACGTTACTATCGACATGCCCTGCCCATTATTTCCCAAAAAACATCCATCCAGCAGTAAAAAGCAAAACGCATATCGCCGATTTGGTGATTCTGGAAAAGCAATACTATGGGCAGTTGTCACTTTAATTTTTAATTACTGCTCCATTTTTCCTGTACCACAAAAACTGAATTTCTTAAGTTTCATTTTCACTTTAATAACAAATTATGGTTACTATGCACACACCGTTCATGTACACATACACATACAACACATACAACTACAACGAATGACAAGGAGCCAGCTGATACTTATAAAACATTCTTTATTCTTTACAGAGGACATTTGTTTAAATATGATTACATACAAACTATGACTTAAAAGCACCCTCATTCACCCATATCATTCTCGTATACAATCGCACACCTTCCCTTCAGTCGTAAATTTTTTTTTAAACTGCTGCTTCACATTTCCATCCTTAGCCCTAATCAACAGATTCCTTCACATGATTCTCCATCTCCACACTCAGAAATCGTCGTCGTCACAAATATCCAGATAGACGTCGAAAGCCTCGCGGTTGCAGTTTCCATCTGGGGTGAAGACGTACTTATGGAATGTCCCATCCACACAAATGGCTACGCCATGTTTGGGAAGGCAGAGAGAGAAAAAAGGAAGGAAGGAGTAAAGAAAGGAAGGAAGAAGAAAAAAAATGAATTCCCAGTAACCTCCACTTGCCTGGAAACCTTAAAATTAATGTGTTCCAAGAACGAACTTGAGGTGCAGTGAATCATCAGATTGGTCTTGTTCGGCTAGGATGCAACCGATGTATCCTTGATGTTTGTGGAGAAGCAAGACCAACATCTGAGGATTTTTACTGTCCTCTGTACTTGTGTTCTTAGTTTTGGGACTGGTATTCGGCTATGGAATGTGATGTAAAACAGGTACAGAACAACACAAGTACGGTCAAGTATGCATATTGAGATTCACCCAGGGCTACCAGCATGCTGTGTAGTGAGGCTGCAGTAAGTACACTGCCCTTAAGTACTATGACAGGGCTACCAGCATGCTGTGTAGTGAGGCTGCAGTAAGTACACTGCCCTTAAGTACTGTGACAGGGCTACCAGCATGCTGTGTAGTGAGGCTGCAGTAAGTACACTGCCCTTAAGTACTGTGACAGGGCTGCCAGC